CCCCTGTAGTTGGAACACACCCTCCGGTCCCCCTTCTTAAAGATGGGACATTTAACATAGTATCAATTCCCAACATTTGTTTAATCTCTTTTTCAAAATATCTCCAGAAATAAATTAACTGAAGACAATTCAGTGGAATATGTGTAAAATTCCCAATCTGCCCACAACCTCTCCAACAAACAGGAAGGAACAGGGTAGAGATGATACAAACACATAATATGCTTATAAATTATAATGTAACACTGTAGATCCCTTAAACCCTTAAAATATATAAAGCATGTACAGCAATAATATGCAAAAAACACAGTATTACTATTAATCCAAATTACGCCATGTTCCATATAACGGAATTTAAAAGAAAAAAACACTGACTTTGTGCCACCTGAAAAACTGATTTCATTCATTCTCCACTTGAAATGTTTCATTCAAGTGGATTACCTCTAAATACATCTGTATCAATATAGTTATAAAAGGAAGGCAAATGTTTGTCCTATTTTTTTTTCCTTAGATACAGTGAAGGATAGTAAAGGCAGATGGTCAACATTAGGAGACAAGAAGCAGAAATACTTTATTGAGGCAGTTGCACTCAGGGAGCAGGCATCTAAACGCTGAGATCAGAAAGCTCAGAATTTCAAAAAGCATCTCAAAGCTCAGGTTTGGAGAAAAGCTTTTTATGCTAGGTGTTCTTATCAATAAATATCAATGTATTTGTACATAAAATTTATAATGATGTTTATAAACAATCAGTTTCTTAATGATCAAGAAACTGATCTTACAGCCCATTGTTTGTCTGTGGTACTAGTTTCAGGCATTGTGCAAATGTACTGTTTATATGGTTGGGCAGACTGAAGAAGTCACTTGGATGTGTGACAAATGTTTTGGGATTACACTTTGTTAGCTTGAAGTCTGGAGCTGCAGCTTAGTGAATTCAGTTGGGCTCAAAATGAATGAAAGAAATTTTAAAAAACGACAACTCGAATTCTTATTGTAAGAGCTGAAAACAATTCCATGTGTGAAACAGATTAAAAGCTGGAGATGTTGAATATCTGGGTGGACCACTGTCTATTTATTGTTTATTATTATTTACATTACCGAGGTGTAAACTGTTGTACTGATCAAAGAAACACTATATTGATCTGGACACTATTGTCAGCATTTTCTTTTATTGTTTTCTTAATCAGCACGATATTGGTCTGTGCTGTCTTTTTTACTCGTTTGCAGCTTCTAGACTGTGTTGTGTACACTGAGGAGCGTTAAAGCCTCAATATTGAAGTCTGAGGTGAAATGTATTCAAGCTCCTTAGATTACAATGACCTAGATGACTGAAAATTGAGCACAGCCTGCATCATTATTATTATTAATAATTTTTTTTGGTGCAGTTCCAAGAGCTTAATTATCCAAAGCTGATGTTAAAAATGACTGCATATATCCACAAAACCGGACAAAATATACTTCAGATGTCTGTTGAAAACTGTCATGATCCAAGCAGCCAGGAACACACAGGCACAAATGTAATCTTCAAAAAAATGGGTTTTATTATACCCCCAGAAAGGACAAGATGATTACAAAAATTTAAAATAACAAAAATTATGTTTTTAAGAACCAAGTGGGCCCATAAAAGAGGTTAACTTAACAG